GGACACTTGACTTCAAAGGGTGATTTACTTTTCTAGGCTGTCATGACTTCCTCTATTTTTTCTTGTCAATCACTTTATCCAAAGACATTAGACTATTTCGTATTTTCTATGTTTGTGGGGCTACATCCCCACTCTTGACTTATTTAGAGTTTTGGTATTATGACTTTTTGTTCTTAGGGGTTTATTTTTGTATAAATATTTTGACTGTTGATTGAGTTTATTGGGACTCCATCCTTGGTTGTTTAAATCTGTTTTTTTCTTCTTATTATTTTTCATGACTTAATTTTCCAAGGGATGTATTGGGATACAGTTTGGGTTATGTAATGACATGATTCCGTTGATACGAAAAAGTCAATGGGAATAGAATTGGGGCCAGAAAACTTTTGAGTAGTAACTTGAGAATTCCTAATCTAGTCCAGAGTTGGATGAAATATGAATCAATGAGGTCAAGGGAATCGGATAATAAATGAGAGATCTAATTATGAATTCGATCACTTCAATAGATATGTAAGACAGTAAAGAACCCGTACGACTTTACGGAATCTAATTTGGCCGGATATAATTTTCGAAACTGATCTTAGTGTGAGCGAGTAATTTTTGAGTGTCATGGGATGAAGGTGTGTTTTGAAATGGGGGTTGAAACTCTTAATTCGATTCTCTGTTTCCCTACAAGCCGCTATGACGGGATTTATCCTACCAGGATGGGGCCGCTGTAGCAGGATTAGTTCCGTTGTAGCGGGACAGTCGCGACTTAAGTAGAGTAAAAATCCCCAAAACGTCATTTTGTGCAAAATTTCATTCTTGAGAGCTATGAAACGACCCAAGGCAAGTTCTTGACAATTTTCATGACTTTTGGTGCTAAAGCTAAGATTTTCACTCCCTGAATATGTTTTTCAATCTGTATTAACATAGTTTTTGGGTAATTGTCATTGAGCGAGGGTTTTGATCTGGAGTTTATGGTGGAAAATCCCTAAGATGGGTATTTGGATCATGGGTTTGACCTAGGATTTATATGTTGATTGTAATTCGGGTAATTAGGCCTTGTTTATTGATCCTTGCGTTAATTGTATGTTTTTAGACCACGAATAAGCAGAAAAAAATCCAAAAAGGGAGGATTCAAGTGCCTTAGAAATTTTAATCTTAGTTTCGAGGTAGGTGATGATTGTGATTATATGTTTGTGTGATATATGTTAGTATGTGCTTCATTGTATTGCATGTATGTATGTGAATATTGCATTATTGATTACACCTAATGTAAGGGGGTATGGACGAATAACTATATGCCATGAATCACCTCTTGCTTGTACGATTATGAGAATGTACATTGTGATTGTGATTGTGGTATGTTGAATAGAGAGGGTGTCACATTCCAACACACTAACTGGGATCGGGTGTCACGTACTGACATACAAATTGGAATGGATGTCACGATTCGACACACTAACTTGGAACGGGTGCCACGATCACTAACAGTTTAGGGAATGGCTCCATAAGAGAACCATTGAATTTGATTCCGTTAGAGGGCCACTGACTTGTCATATATACTTGTTATTGAGAACGTGAAATTGTAGGTTGCTCGTAAAATGATAATGATATTGTATATGTTCGGTGTATGCATGTTTATGATATTGTAATGACTTATGTATGTTTAACTTAATGGGATAGCTGTGTGATCCTACCAGTAATGTGTGGTTGTGCACTAATACTGCATTTGTTCTTTGTTGAGTATAGGACATCTTCAGGCGGCTATTTGATAGACTTCAACTTGGTGACTATTGAGCGTGACTGGATTCAACAGTGAGCCAGTTCTTTCAGGCTGCCATGGATCTCTCTTGTTTAAGTCCATTCTTTTCGAACTCAGACTATTTGTTTAAGGTGTTATCTTAGTTTCGGGGTTGTACCTCTTGTTCTTAGACTTATTATTTGTAGAGTTTTGGTACGATGACTTTCAGGTTCTAGGGGTTGTTCTTCCACATTAGTTTGGCTAGTTTATCTAAACGTTTGGAGTTTATGCGAACTTTATATATTTTCTGCATTTAAACATGCTTCTGTATCTTTAAATTGGTAGTATATGTGTTAAGGTTGCTTAGTTGAGTTGTAGTAAGGATTCTCCTATCAGAAGGTTAGTGTGGGCGTCAATCACAGTGGTCTAGGTCGTGACAGGTTAGTACTTGGTTCTCCTACCAGGTGATTTATTGTGGGTGTCACTTACAACGGTTTGAATCGTCACAATGTAGTTGAACTACAATAACATAAAAAATTAATACATATCAAAAATAAAATGCGGCAAGTTCAAGAATCTACAAATTCCATAGAGATTAATATTAACAAATACTAAAAGATTTCATTAAACTAAAAGTTGTACTAGATCGCATTGCCTTTAAAAAATAATAAATCTAATGAGATTTTTTTAAAGGAGTGTGTACACTAGATCTGATTGTAATAGTAGAAAAAAGAAAATTTTTAAACAAAATAGATCCTATTAAAATATAAAAAAAGATTAAACGTCATACCAAATCGCATAAACAAAAATTATAATATATTGAATTATAATAACAAAAATATTCTTTTTAAAATACAGAAAAAGTCAAAAGATAATAAATAATCACATTATAATGGCAAAAACATTTAATTTTTTTTTTCAAAAAGTCAAAAAGAATATACATGTTCACACTAAATGGCAAAACTATTTTTAAAAAATTTAATAAAAATCATAAAAAGATATACTAAATTAAATTAAATTACACTACCAGAAAGTATGAAACAAATTTCCAGATGGTCCCTTATGTTTAAGGTATTTGAAAAATAATCACTGAAATATACTCATGAGCGACTAAATGATACACTCAAATTACACTTCGTTACAAAAATATATAAGCGGTCGTATCAAGTAAAGAACCCAATAAGTAGGCTGCGTTTGATCCCACGAGGAAAATGGTTTAGACTTAATTTAGTATACAATTACGTCTATTTCCTTTCCAGAAAAATAGTTAATTAAAGAGGGGGGATTTGTGAAACAAAAGTGTTTAATTAATTCTAACTAAAACAAGAAGTAAGATTAAAACTTTGGTGTTTATCAAGTCGTGAGACAAACTAAGGTGTAAGTGTTCCTCATAGGTTCATAACGCGGTAATCCTAGCTATAACAATTTTTTTCTAGTGTCTTGCATGCAAAGTGATAAGTTATGTATCTCTAAATCTTTGGTCCGGCATATATAGAATTTCACCCCGTACCTTGGTCCGACAACGTGGGTTTAAGTTACTAACCCTTACCTTTACTTCATATTAAGCGTCAAATTCGATGTATGACTTAGTTATTACTTCGCACCAATCGAAACTAGCCTATTAGACAGTGTCTCACTAAATCTATGTTGATAATTCTTTTTTTTATTAACTACCTCCTTGGTCCGGCAAGTAGCAACAAGGCGTGTTATAACGTTGCCACCGTTAAAAAAAAACTTCTAAACGAAAGAATTATCAATACATGCAAAAACCTATTTGAGAATTATTATTTAGCTAGTTTTACTTTGTAAATCACCCATGGTTCCCACAACCCTAGTTGTGGATTTAGTTACCGGAAGAACACAAATCATGATTGTTAAACAATAATTCATAAACTTACTTTGAGAAGTTTGAAGAAAATCCAGAAATTGCGCTTGAAAAAACAAAATTCACTTGATAATCAATTTCGAAAACATGAATAAAATTGTCAAATTCCAAAGTTAAATCTCCAAGAACAAAAGTATGAAAACCAAAAAAAAAATTCAACCCCAAAAACGAGGTTTTACACCATATTTATAAAGACATTATCCTAAAATAAAAGGAAAAAAAACAAGGAAAGTTTTTCTAAAAAATGCGGCTTCAATCGACGACCCCACAGATGGTCCGTCGATGGAACGACGGACCGTCGACTGCCTCCGTCGGTCCAGACTTAGCTTTTTCTTCAGCTGTCGCTTTTGCATCTTCTCTGATCCAATCGACGGACCAACAACACGGTTCGTCGACGCCTTCGTCGTTCCATACTTAGTTTTTCTTCAACACCGGGTACTGGGACTACTCTTTGATCTGATCGACGGTTTGCAAGGATGGTCCATCGATGGAACGACGGACCGTCGATACTTCTGTAGCCCCACACTTGGTCAGAATTCCCCGAGTTGCTTCCAGATGTCTGAATCTCCAAATGATGGTCACCATCTAGGGACCGTCGATGGCTTCGTGGGTCACTTCTGCGCTGATTCTTCACAGCCTTCTACATTTTTGTTCCGGACAACTTTCCTGCAAAACATAGATAAAAACATATTAAAATTACTACAAAAAGGCCCTACACACACACTAAACTTAAGGAAAAAGCATTGAAAGTACTGTGAAACCACGGTACATCATTCAGTCCTTTAAGTTAGTCGATTATTAACGTTTGTACTGATTATCAGATATTTTAACAACTTTTGATTTCAAAAAAATTATCAAAAAGTAATTAATAGAAATTCATATTCTGGATGCTTAATTTTTGTAATTTTTAGAATTTTTGATATCTGGTGTAACTTTTACTATTTTTATAGAAATATATGTTTATAGTGTCTGATGTATGTTTTAAGGTTGCAGTGTTTGAGATTTGACGAAAGCATGCAAATCTTTTTTCCACAGTTCATGTTATGTTGTCATCAGACTTCATTCTTTCAACACATGCATACTTTATAAAGAGTTGGTCATTCCTCTATTTTCTCCAAGTATGTGATTAATTGACTCATTGAGTGACTTTTATTTACCTCAATATAAATAAATTTTTAAATACATAAGTAGTACCAAAATTTCACTTTTATTAACTTAGAGGATTTAAATGGTTTTTAAACATTTTAAGGGGATTAATTCATAAAATATTATTTACAATTTTATCTCTTCCTTTCTCTTTTATACTAATTTTTCTTCATATTTTTCACATTTTGCCTTTCTTTGTTTCTCTGCTCTTTTGTCCACCCAGATTTGCTGCCCCATTTGGCCGGAATGTCTCTACATTCCATCAACATCAACAACACTGACACCAATAAGCGTAAGCGTGATGTTAACATCGCGAAGGATCAATTGAACGACTTATCTTCACAAATTGTGGAGTTGTGCAAAAACAAAGATAACTCTGTTGAGCCCCGCTCAGTCTCAGATCATATACAAAGCATGGTTATGAATTTCTTGAGTTCACTTCCAAATGATTTTGACCAAGCGGTAGAGCATCTTGAGTTAATTATTTCCTCTTCTGTTCCAAAAGACTTGGTAATGCTTTATCTGAATCAGAACTATAGAATGATTGCTTATACATCCATTCGTGAATTTATTAGTTCATTTAAGAATGATCCCCTTAAACCAATATATGCTTTTATAGCGTTAAAATTTTGCAAAATTTTGCGAGAAAATGTGAAGACTGATGATGGATTGTATCGAATTTGTCGAAGTAGTTTAGGGGCTATGATAGAGTTCACAGGGATCGCGAGGTGCAAGTATGAGCAGAAAAAGTTGGTATCCTTAAACAGTGTTTTTCCATTTCTTATGGAGATATCAGCTGAGTTATCTCTTGACTTAGAATCGACAATGGGAACATCTGGATTTGAGGGGTTATCATTTACCCTTGTGCGTGATTTTAGTGCATTTTTGCTTCCAGTATGGAATGTCTTATGGTCGATGGACAACGTCACTTATGAAGAAAAGTTTTTTGAAAAGATTGATTTACCCTTGTATGAAATGTTCTATGATTTGCTAGCAAAAGTGACACTCTCTTTAAGGTTGTTGGATTCAAAAAAGGTAAAAAAAGACATTGTTGTACCTTGGTGGTCTCTATATCTTGATATCCTGAACGACTTACAGAGTATATCCAAATTGTATATCTATATGGAGGATGATTTTTGGCAGAACATGAAGCAAGTAAAGGGCTCATTGTGCTATCTAATAACAAACTTTGCAGAGAAATCAGAACATTATGAGTGGATTTTTGAGCACAAAGAGGTAACAAACTTTTATATACGGAGGCAATTGGCAATGATGATGCTTCCAGAAGTTGAAGATAATGTAGAAGATAAGTACAACATGCTCATTGATAGGTCCAAATTGATAGTAGACTCGTTCGATTATATTACCAAACTCAAATACCTGCCAGGCAGTTTCTTTGTGCAATTCAAAGAGGAACAAGCTATTGGGCCTGGTGTGTTGAGGGAATGGTTCTTACTAGCATGCCAGGAGATTTTCAACCCAAACAACGCGCTTTTTGTTGCTTGCCCAGATGATAATAGAAGTTTTTTCCCAAATCAAGGTAACCTTTCATTACATTTATTCATTATTGCTCAAATTTAAGGTATCTGAAATATAACTAACAAATAAGGAAACATTTTCTACAACTCTTTTTCAACCTCACACCTCAGCCTTCTACATGAACTCAAGTATCGCGTATTGGTTATCCATACTAATTAAGAATTCGATTCTTGATTTGAAATCCAACCTTGATTAGAGACCCAAATCCTAAGATTCTAATAAACTCCGGGTTGAAACTCAATTTAAGTTGCAGGTCTTAGGTAAGCATTCTAAGTCAAATCCTGATATGGGCATCGAGGTCGGGTCTTGTCTTAAATGTCATGTAGTGTTCTAAGTCCCCAATTGATTGTCATGGTCGAGTATCAGGGTTAAACAGTATTAGATGCCAGGTATCACATGAGGTCCTGAGTTGATAGTCAGGGTCAAGTATCAAGGTTAGATCACAATTTAGAAACTATGTCTTGGGTCGGTTTTTAGATTCGGGTCCCATATCAGATCTCAGGATTGGATCCTAGTTTCAATTTTGGATTCAAGATTGGGTGTCGGAGTCGAAGTCGGGTCTTGATTTTGAACTCAGGTATTGGGCTAAGTCCTAGATAGTTATCAAGGTTAGGTGTTCAAGTCTGGTCTCGATTTTGAAGTCGAACCTTGATACATCCAATCTCACACTTCACTTAAGAAATAGACAGAATGATCTGGAGACCCATGTACTTCCGTTTGTCAGTTGAACCTTTCTACTCATCACTTTGCCAAATGAATCCTTAAACTCGATTAAACTCTATTTTCTACACCCCTCTGACCATTGGCCGAGCTTATGTGGGATCAAAATGGTTGAGTTGGACAAATGTGAGACCACACGCAAGTGAATGCAATACTTTTATTTAAAAATTATTAAAATTATAAGACAAAATAATAATAATAATTAAAAAAATTAAAAAAAAATCTCAAAATCTTTCTTCTTCATCCCCACCCATCTTTTTCTCTTCTTCTTCAGCCCACCCACCTCACCCCACCCCCACCCCCACCCATTCTCTAGTTTATTCAGTCGCACCTCATCTTTTTTTCTTTTCTTCTTCAGCCCCAACCCCACCCTTCTTCTCTTCTTCTTCAGCCCTAGAAACCCCTACCCCGCCCCTACCCCTTTTCTATTATTCTTCTTTGAAATATACCTCATCACCATAATCATCAAATATAATGTTAAAAGAGCTTTTGCAAGAAAACATATCATTCACCATTTTCATAAATTTAAAATGTATTGCCTAAATTATTCATAAATATATTTTTTTCAACTTAAAGTTTTCTTGATTTTTATTATCAAATTAAAATAAATAGAACATAAAGCATGTGCAAGAGCTAATTACAATATATTATATTTTGTGATTGAATAACTTTTGAGTGTAAAATGTGAAGAAAGATGAAAATGTTTTTTTTTAATTTTTGGGACGAGGCTAAGGGTGGATGCGAATGAAGAAGATGAAGTAGGAAGGGGGAAAGAGAGAGAAAAATACACTTTTAAAAAAAAAAATTGATTTATGATGTGTCATTGAAAACTTTAATAATAATGACGTGGTGTTTGATGTGTAAAAAGAGTGTAATACACGCACACACACATTAGATAGGAAAAGAGGGTTAAAATATTGGGTTTGAATGAGTTTAAGGATTCATTAGGCAAAGTGATGAGTAGAAGGGTTCAACTGACAAAGGGTCTCCGAGGTCATTCCGCCTAAAGAAATATAAAAAGGTTGAAGTCAATTACACAAATCAACAAGAGTTGAGGTCGATCCCACAAGAGATTGCATAAGAAATAAGTGATGATTGTGTAAAATGACGATTGATTTTAATTTAGTGTTCAAGTAACAAAGAGTAATTAGAATTTAGTATTAAAAGTAACAAACGTTAGTCTCAAAATTTTGATTATGAAATGAAAGAGACCATAATTATGTTACCTATGACATCGGCATGCAACTCATATTTCATACAGGTAAAGGTCTTTTGATGTTAAGCAAGCCTTATTAGCTTGTTAAGAACACCTAAATGCTTTCAGCCCTATTAGATGAATATCACTTGCCTCCTCTCAGTCTTAGAGTGTGTTCATTATCAACCCTTGTGTGTTCCATTTTTTGGTCAACTTTTGTTATTCAATTGATACAAGTAATTGTTAAAAAGAAATAGTGATAAGAGTTGAAAATAAAGATTTGGTAGTTGGCAAATTGGTCAGATTTGCAATATTTTTTTGACTTTGTTATATTTACCTATGTCATTAGTGACATAGGCATGATTTTCTTCTTCTATAAATAGAGTATTCTTGCTCATTTGTAGAACACACCAAATTAGAGAGAGAAACCATTTTGAGAGCAAAGTGAGGCAGTGTAAGCGATATTTTAGTAAGGTGGAAATCAAAAGAGTGTTTGTTGGAATTCTACCCTCCTGAATTATTCAAAGGAACACGTACTAACAACTAGTTTGTGGCTACTTGAAGAAACTTTAACAGTGATTAATTTGAACAACACTTTGTATTATTTGTAACTTTCAAGTAATACAAAGATTACAACGTTTAAGCTATCAAGGAATTATAAACTATAATTCCTTCTACTCAAAGACGGAAAACTACTCCCTAGTTTTCTATCTTCTCAATGCTTTTCAAGTACTATAACTTGTCAAGCAAATCTACTACCTAGATTGTAAACAAGACTCTTGAATACAATCTTTACAACTTTATCACTCAACTCGCAGCACTCAAAAGATTTTAACAAAACTCTCTCAACCCTCTTGATCGTGTTTTGAAGTTCTCTCTTTATAGGTGCGCAAGTTTTTCTGATCAAAATAGCTCTCTATTTATAAACCAGAAATTCAGCCAATCCTTGTACAAATCAACTTGTATTTGTCTTCTACAAATCCTTGTTGACTTCTACTAACTCTTTTTCTCGAAACCTTATTGTACTCAAATTTGTTTTTAATAGTTTTCCTTAACCAATTAAACTACTATAAACAAAAACGTACATATAAGTTTCCATATATAACACGTACGCCGCCACTTGCATACCCGCTGCAATATTTCACTGGAACATGTTGCACTACCTGTTCAATTCAATTTTTCCATATTCAAAATCTCAAGATTTAACAAATTCCCCCTTTTTGACTATGGCAAATAATCAGCTTGCATTTGAATAGGTACACAATACATCAATCAACATATAGAGCACTTTAATATCATCCTACAAATCTGCAGGCTGCTTCCCCCTTTTGCCATTAGCCAAAAACATTGAAAACCAAAGTACATATGTATACTAGAATAGAGCATCATACAAAGTCATTAATGACATCAAGAGTTAAACGTCAAACCAAAATACATACAAAAATAGTAATGTCTACTTCAGTCTTTAACTAGTCAAAAACAAAAAATTATAAGATAATGCATATATGAGGATTGATTAAACAGAGAGTGCCATAGAGGTGGAAGAGTTTGAAGATCCCTTGGTTAGCAACCCCATGATACTTTGTAGATGCCCAGAATTCACTGCTCGTTCTTGATGTAACGCAGCCTGAGTTTGATTGAGTTCTTCCTTAATCCTGCAGTTCTCAGCAATCAATTCCTCACGTTCCAATTTATGAGCAATCTGAACCTGTTCCATCTCTACTGAATGAGCCCTTTTTAGTGCTTCCATCTCCTTTTCTACAGCAGTAAGAGAAGCCCTTAACCGTTGAGTTTTCATATCAACCCTTTTAGGCGTACCAGGCATGTTCATATAGTCCACCTTCCCCAGACATCAGAAATAGTTTGAATCTGCCACTTCTTTGCAGACACACCAAAATTTTCAAATATTTGTCCTAACCAAAATCCATAAACCAAACCCCTTTGCTTTTTATCAACCTTGGACAAACTATGTATGTGACTTATTATTAGGATTGGCAAGTTTATTTGAGTCCTAGACAATAGTAAGTCCATAAGTGTGAGATCCAAGTAACATGCTTCAGTCCTTTTTTGCTTTCTAGGAAGAAGAATTTTATGAACTACATTAAACAGCATCTGATGTAAAGGTAACATACATCCCTTGTCAACACTAGAATATTCTGATAGAGTAGGATCATTTGAGAATCGCCTACATATGTCAAGTTGAGAGGTGTTACCCTCTAAAGGAGGCCAATCCTTCTTGACATAGTGACCCCATCCCCTGTTAGGTATCCTGTGTATTGAAGACAAAATCTCAGCAGTAAGTGTAAAAGAGATACCACACACAGTATTAGTAATTGACGAGGCAGTTCCTGTTCCATTGATATAAAATTCTCTAGTTTCTACTCTACCCATTTTACGCCTAAAGGATCCTTGAAGCATCAGTTCTGTTCATCCTTGTTCTTGTAAGATGATCACTAACTCATCCATCTCACCACCCCCGAAGCCAGAAATTACTCCCCCCCTAATCACACTCCTCTTCTTAAAGGCTAATACTCTTGCGTGGTAATCATTATCATCTAAATCATGAAATTTTGATTTGGATGAAATTTTTTTCCGTTTCTGACTATTCACTGTATCTGCTACAAAGTTTAACGATGAAGGAGACTTACGCTTTCTTGTGCGACTTTTCTTAGTTGATTTAGCCAAGGTCTCTGCTTCTCGAGTGCGTTGTACAGATCTAGTTACTCGCATTGGTACCTTTGCCGGTAGAATAGAGTGAGATTCTTCTGGAGTTTCAGGAAGAATCGTAGCAGGAGGTTTGCAAGAAGATGAACTTCGTTTGGAACAAGTTCTGATTTGAAAAAGCATTTCGAGCAAGGTGATATTTTCATCATCAGAACTATTTTCTTGGTCCTGTGACGAAAACATTTGTTCCCCCTCACTTCGTGCACTCATATTTTCTTTTTCTAACCCTTGACTTCTCTCTTCCCCCTAAACTAATGCATCTTCCATAAGAGACCATCGAGTTACGCCAGTCAAATCAATGTAGAGAATAGCTGGTAGGGCGTGTAGGCTTTCTTGAGTATCAAAGGGAATTATGGCTAGTGAAAGATTGGAGGACATGGCCATTTTTTCTCAACAACACAGT